CCCCCCCCCCCCCCCCCCCCCCCCCCCCCCCCCCCCCCCCGCAGCACAACCAGGGAGTTCTGTCTCTTTTGGCCAGGTCAATGAATCACACACCCTCTTTTGTTTATTTTGTTCTAAGAAACACCACCTCACATAGTCCCTGCCGCTCTCAAACTCTCTATGTGGAGGATATCCCTTATCTCTCCACGTTCATCTCCCGAACGCTGGGGTTTCGGGCGTGAGCCCCATCTGCTCTCCAGTGTGTATGACTTCCTTACCAAAAGGAGCAGCCCGTGAAATGGACCCCTATGAATGTGTGAACTCTGTTTTGTTTTCAGAAAAAAACTGAGAGCAAAATTCTCCCTAGGTCAGGCAAGAGAGGTGGTTAAACCATGAGGTTCTAGTGTTTTCCAAAGGCCTTGGTTTGTATGCATCAGGAAACACAGAATTACTGAAGCTCTGTGTGTGTAAGGGTTGAAACTTTGCCCATGGGAAGCTGGCTGTGAGCGGCTAGAGTCAGGCTGACCATGCTTCAGCGTCCTCTGATGTCTCTGCAGCTGCTGGGAGGACTTGGGGGAAACAACCCCGATGCCTCATTTCCCAGAGCCCAGAGGCCTGGGGCAGCTGGCCAAGCCCGAGCGGAAGGGGCAAGAATGGATCATGACTTCAAACACAAAACCCTGAAAGGATGACATTCCCTGGTCAGGGTTCCCCTGTATTTGTTCCTTAGGCTTTGAGGGTCTCTTGACTAGTTCCTCCAGCTTGTAACCAGGGATCTGGCCCTGGGAATGCAATAGGCTCAGAGAATTCACACAGTTTAAATGGCTCACCCAAGGTCATGGCCGTTTTAAGTGTTTATATTTGAAGCCAAGTTGGTCAAGATCAAAGCCGTGGCCAGAAGCACCCAAACCTGGGGCCCTTGGGGCAGCTTTTCACCTCCTAGGGTTGGGGGTGCCAGTGGCACCAAGCAGATCTTCAGGGAAAGTCTTTCTGTTTGCACACCTGAGCACACTCAGACAGCTGGGCCCTTCCCAGCCTGCACTGCCAGGCTCAGAGACCTCCTCACTCCCAGCCAGGAGTCGGGAGTTCTCCCGAGTGTGTACATGACCTTGGGTCAGTGCAGGGTGACTGACAACCTTAACTCAGGGGGCCTGTTACTTTCAGGGTTTTGTTTTAAACATAGGATCTTGCTTCCTGGCTTTGACTGTCCTGAACTCAAGATCCTCCTGGGAACTGCGATGGAAGATGATGGGTGGACCCCACCATACCCAGTTGGGGGCGCCACACGTGCAGGTACCGAGTCACAGCAGAGCAGAGCGTCATGCAGAGCAGTAACTGCCTCAGGAGGCAGCTCCCTGCTACAGGGCAGAGGGTTTCCCTTCAGAGAACAGACACACCCTAGCGAGGGTTGACTCTGGAATCCCCCACGAGCACGGATGGAAGCCTAAGGGTTAGGGCCTCAGCTTCATCACCTGTGCCTCGTGCCTGAGTTTGATCAGGACGGGGGTTGGGGTGGGGGGACGAATGGGGGGAGTAGGTGACACAAATGTCTTGGGTTTCTTTTGCGCCTCACCCTAGGCTTGCCTTGCTTAGGAGCAGGAGTCACCAGCTCAGATCCCCAGAGCTCCTAGGTAATAGTCCAACTCAGAGCACTATGCATACAGCTGTATGTAATACAAATACACTCAGTAGTTTCATATTAACACAGACAGAGCCCGTGAGACTCATGGTCTCCTCCTCCCAGCTCAGTCCACCCTCCTGGCGCTTGCAATCACCCCCTGCTGAGCCAGGACGGTTACTTTACCTAACTCTGGCGGCTGGTCACTTGTGCAGTTGCTCATCCAGGGCCCTCCCCCTACTTTTTTTTTCCTGTATTTGTCCTGTTGGGTATCAAACTCAGGCCTCGTGGGTGCTGGGAGGGCACGCACTCTACCACTGAGGTACGCAGCCAGAGTCTGCTGTCTTAACTATAACGCGATAGATAGCATGTCCCACATTCCCATGTGTGGACACACGCACACGTACTCACGCACACACACCCGCCCTTATGAGTTCTGCCAGCTGTCTTATCAGGTCCCTCCCCCAGCACACAGGCCACATCTGAACCTCTGTTCGTGGCCGGTCCTTCAGTGTGCGGAAGGCGGGTCCTGTGTAGATAGGGCTCCTTTAAAGGCCCCCCACCTCATTTGGCTCTTGCCTTCTGCCTTCTGAACTGCCGGCTGCCACCTGCACCAGCTGTACCAGACACCATGGAGAGGGCCCTTGTCCTTCTGCTTGTGACCCTTGTTGCGGTGGCCTATGCAGCTCCTGGGCCCCGGGGACTTTTTCTTAACCTGGTAAGGGGTCTCTGGGGGCCGTCAGAGTCTTGCCATGAGGATTTTGGAAGCTTGGCTCCTGACCTCAGGTGCCACCCAGCCTGGGTGTCCCTCCCTGAGTCCTTGGCTGTGTTATGAGGCCATCTCAGGAGAGATGGAGGGACAGCTCTGAGCTCCACCTGGCTGGGACAGTGCTCTCTACGAGGCCAGAACCCTAAGTCAGAAACTCTGCCTGGCAAGGTCCTATGGCTTAGAAGTTGTCAGCTTTCTAAGCTGGCATTAAAGGCTAGTGCCTTCATGCCCAATACATGTGGAGCGTAGAGACGACTTCTACATTCACTGCCCCCCCCAAACAGTGGGGGAAGCCAGGCGTGGTGATGCTTGCCTGTAATGCCACCGCTGGGGAGGCTGAGGTCATGGGTTAAGGCTAGCCTGGGCTACATAATTCCAGGGCTGCCTGGACTGTGAGATCCAGTCTCATAGAAGGAAAGGCGGGAGGCCCTGCTTTAGGGTCCCCTGTGCAAGGCACCAAGGTGTCAATGGCTGGTCAGGGCCACCAGGAAGTAGCCAGTAATAGTAGGACCTACACACCTGCCCCGCCCCCAGACAGGCGCTGATGGTAGCTGTGATGGGCACGGGGGAGGGTTCGGGCTGACAGGCTGTCTCTCCAGGATGACGGCGAGATCTGCGTTAACAGCATGCAGTGCAGCAGCAAATGCTGCCAGCACGACACCATCCTGGGCATCGCCCGCTGCACCCACAAGGCCATCGAGAACAGCGAGTGCTCCCCACAGGTACACGCCCTGCAGGCTCGGGGGACGGGGAGGGCTCCACCCGGACAGGGAGTGCTGAAGGAGCCAGGAGGGAGGTTTACAGGGTGAAGGGTTTAGCCCATCCCATCATCCCCTCCACCCGGACCATCACAACTGGCTCCTGGGTTGGTGGGACGTGTGTGTGTTCCCATTCCACAGGTGAGTAACGAGAGGCTCCTCTGAGCTTTCAAGTTAGTAAGAGTGTTGGTGGAGGCCTAATCCCAGGCCCCCTGGCGAGGCAGTCAGGAGCATACTGTGAAGTGCCAGGAATCCAGTTCACAGCCAGGCAGGGAACAAAAGATAGCCAAGGTGTCCCCGCCGGCTGTGACTCTGTTGTACCTCCCTCTCTCTGCAGAGCGTCTATGGGGTTTACTACAGGTGTCCCTGTGAGCGGGGCCTGAGCTGTGAGGGGGACAAGACCATCCTTGGCGCCATCACCAACACCAACTATGGCATCTGCCTTGATGTCGGGCGCTCCAAGCAGTGAGCTTATGCAATAAGCTGGACCAGGCACCGCTCTCTCCCCTCCTCTTCCCGCTGTCCCGTCTGAGCCAGCTATTGGCAATTAAAGCACACCTGCAACCTTGCCCGCCTCTGCCTGTCCTTGCGAAGCCAGCAGAAATCTCATGAAACCTTTGTCTGCCAGGGCCAGGCTCCCACAGGGCAGAAGTGTGTGTGGAGGCTGGGGTGAGGGACAGCCTGGTGAATAGGCAGAGCTAGACCCGGTCCTACAGAGCAGGCCCACTCGGGCCTCCCTACTCTTCTGAGCCCCTGGCAGGCAGGCAGGCAGGTGCAAGACAAGACAGCATGGATGATGACGTCACTGGGGCTGTGCCTCGGATCATGACAGTCCCCTCTTCTAGCTCTCCCTCTTTTCAGTTGTGACAGCTAGCTGACACCTCTTCTGTGCTAATGAGTCAGACCACTGATAACTGCAGTGGTTCCTCTCTGGACTCCCCTCCCTGCCCCGTGACCCTGGGAGGAAGAACTTACCGTCCCTATAAGGATGCTGAGTTCAGAGAGCTGGAGGAAAGTGCCCAGCGCCACACAAGCCCACCCTACCTTTCTTTGTAGGGTGCCCTGTCCTTCCTCAACATTCACAGTAAGAAGGAGTAGAAAGCATAAGGAATTAAATTTTTCCATAATATAGAATTATGTTCTTTCAGGAGCCATCAAATATCAGTAGGACCAGTGAGATGGACCAGTGGGTAAAGATACTTGCGACCAAGCCAGCTTGAGTTTGTTCCTGGGAATGCAGATGGTAGAAGAAAAAAAAAAAAACAAAAAACCACAGGCTGTCCTCTGGGTTCCACTCATGTGACATCGTGCATAAGGCCACACACACACACCACTACGCATGAATAAATGGACAAATAAATGTAATTTTAAAACCTCACAAGTTAATTAGGACACAGCAAGGCCCAAGGAGAAGCTTCTGACCCCTGAGATGGGAGACTACGGGGTGGAGGGGAGATTCACAATAGGGAGTCCGGTATCCCCCAGTCCCACAGTTTGCAGTTCTGGGAGAGCGAAGCCTCTAGAACCTGTGACTTCTGCCTTCAGACCACATTCAGCTGCAAAGCCCCAAGACATTTTGGCTTCACAAAATGTTGTGTCTTCAGTCTCGCCAGCCCCGCAGTCGGGAGACAGGAAGTGCTGGCACGTGTCCGGTGCATAAGCAGCCACTCCTAGCACCATACCCTTTCACCATAAAGCAGAGGAGTAGGGGGGTGGGGAGAGATGGCTCTCCTTGTTGCCTTCCCTTCCTTGTCTTTGCTAAGACCTCTAGGCCAGCAATTCTCAACCTGTGGGTTGTGGCACCTTTGGGGGTCGAATGACCTTTTCACAGGGTTGCACATCAAATGTTCTGCATATCAGATATTTATATTATAATTCATAACAGCAAAATCAAAGTTATGAACAGCAATGAAAATAATCTTATGGGGGGGGGGTCACCGCATCCTGAGGAACTGTGTTAAAGGGTCGCAGCACCGGGAAGGCTGAGAGCCACTGTTCTAGGCAGACTCTTCATAGCACAATGACCACAACTGGGTCAGACCAGCTTTAGCTGCAAGGGAGACTGGACAGCCATGGTTGACCAAATTCTAGCTGCAAGGGAGTTTGGATGACCATGATTGACAATTCGTGATTCCCCTCCCAGAGCTGGGTTTGCTGCTGCTCAAGTAACACTGGAGTTCCACTATCAAGAAGAGGAAAGGAGACCCCAACACAAAGAGTTTTCAGTGCCTCTTCTGTGGAGACAGGTCGAGTGCAGAGGCAGGTGCCACCCGAGCCTCGGAAGAGAGCGCAGTCATGCTTTGCTGGGTATCTAGACTGACCGCAGCGCCCACGGTGTTTGAGGATCTTTAGGATATGAGCAAAGTACCTAGGCTCCACAGAAGGAGAGGGGTGATAGACACTGTGGCTTTTAAGTAATCCTTTCTCCTACCAAGCCTGGAAGTCAGCAGTCACTTGCTCTGAAATCCACACAAACATGTCCCAGGCTGGCAAGACGGCTCAGTGGGTGCTTGCTGCAAAGCCCGATGTCCTGAGTTCGATCCCCAGGACCCATATTTGGAAGGAGAGGACTCTCTCTCAAGTTGCCCTCTGACCTCTACACATTTGTATGTCCCTCTCCCACCATATTATACATAAGTGCTCAGCATGGAACGACATGCTTGTAATCCCAGCACTCGGAGGCAGAGGCAGGAAGGTCTCTGTGAGTTCAAGGCCAGCCTGGTCCGCAAGAGCTAGTTCCAGGACAGCCAGAGCTACATAGCAAAACCCTGTCTTGAAAAACAAACAAATAAGAAAAGCAAAGCTTTGTTCCCAGGATGGAGAGATGACTCAGTGGTTAAATGTGATGGCTGCTCTTCCAGAGGCCCCGGGTTCAGGTCCCAGCACACACGTGGCAGCTCACAACCATCTGTGGCTAGCGCTCTAGGGAATCCTAACAGAATCCCATTGGTCATCTGCTGTGTGCCAGGCTCTGTGAATACTGTGGAAAGATAGGCCATAGTGTACCACTCCCCAAAGCTGGCATCCCAACAACCACACAGTGGAGTTGTTTTTTTTTTTTTTAAGATTTATTTATTATGTATACAACATTCCTTCCATGTATGCTTGCCAGAAGAGGGCACCAGATCTCACCATAGATGGCTGTGAGCCACCATGTGGTTGCTGGGAATTGAACTCAGGACCTCTGGAAGAGCAGTCAGTGAGTGCTCTTAACCTCTGAGCCATCTCTCCAGCCCCACAGTGGAGTTTTCTACAGTCAAGGTGGGCCCTCTCCCACTCCCTGGCCTCCTCCCCCATCCCCTCTCCTTGCCTCCTTGTCCCCTCCTTGCCTCTCCCTCTCTCCTCTGCCCTCTTCTCCCCCTTGCCTCCTCCTGTCCTCGCTTTCTTCCAGGCTGGCTCTACTCTTGCCCCCCGCCCCCATTCTTTGCTTCTTCCCCTCCCTTGTTTCTCCAGGAATCAACCCAGGGTCTTGCCCATGATCTTCCTGACAAGCCTGTACTACCAGGACTGCTCAGAAATAACTCCCAGAAATTGAAACAAAACTGTTGAAACCAAGCCGGTGCACTTCCTGATGTGCTGGATTTCAGGTCCTACAAATGCGAATGGCCCACGTGGCTCTGGATAGCGGCCTTGGCAGGGATGCGGCTGGGAGAGGGTGACAGACAAGAAGACCTGTGTGAAGAGAGCCTGTCACTGACACAATGCTGAGCAGAGGACAGGGCCTGTTGTTGTTGTTGAGACAAGGTTCCACGATGTAGCCCAGGCTGACCTTGAAGCAAGCCTTGACGGTGTCGGGGTGACTCTATAGGCCGTCCTGGTGGAGTGGGCACTGTGTGAATTCCTGGTCTGCACACTGTGCTATATGTAACATTGACCGGATGTGGACAGTGGGTGTCATGGATTCTTTTTTTTAAAGATTTATTTATTTATACAACATTCTGCCTCCATGTATGCCCACACGCCAGAGGAGGACACCAGATCTCATTACAGATGGTTGTGAGCCACCATGTGGTTCCTGGGAATTGAACTCAGGACCTCTGGAAGAGCAGACGGTGCTCTAAACCACTGAGCCATCTCTCCAGCCCCCGGGTGTCATGGATTCTTATACCTATTGAAGGGTGTTTTAAATTAATGCATTTTATTATTTGTGTGTGTAGTCAAAAGACAACTTTGTGGAATCAGTTGTCTCCATCCTCTGTGGGGTCTGAGGATCGAACTCAGGTTACCAGGCTTGTGTGACGAGCACTTTTAGCTGCTGAGCCATCTGGCTGGCCCTTTGGCAGGTGTAAGCCCTGCAAGGACAGCGGAGGGTCACAGTGGCTACGCCTCTTCCTGCTTCCCACTGCCTCTCTGTCCCATCTTCTCACCCCTTGTCCTTCCTGTCCACTCTTCCAGAACATCTAGAGAAAGCCTGTCAACTCTCATGATTCCATTCCCCTACCTTAGAACTGCCTTGGGCCTCAAGCACCCTACTCAGAGCGCCCTGCTCTGATCCCCCTCCTGCCTCAGGAGGAAGACTTTGCACCCCAGCTAAGCAGGACCCCAGCCATGGAGCACCCCAGCCATGGAGGATCCCAGCTGTTGGGACCATTTGGAGTCCTGGCCTCCAGCTGCTCTTCCCTGCTAGAGATCTTTACTTTCCTTCTGATTTGAGTTACTGAAAGCTGTGTCAAAGTTGTTTACCAGCTCTGCTTCACGAGCGCGTGTTGCCTTGGCCTTGAGGATCAGAGGATAAGGTTTTCACCTGCTGGCCCACCTGACTGTGTTGGGTATATAAGCCTCCATGGTGCTATTGAATAAAGGGCTTCTTACCAGTGAGTAGAGGTCCGTGTCTCTGTCTGTGTTTGTGTGTTTCCACCTCCAGCCCCTTGCCTGAAGCTCGTGAACTGTATGGTAGCACAGACAGCCGTGGAGGGAGGACCCCAGCCATGGGGGACCATCCTGTGTTCCTGTGCTCACAGCAGCACCACCTCTCTGGAATTATCATCTTTATCTTTTCTCCCCTTTTGAATCTGTCTCCCTGCAGATTCCAGCTGCAGGAGGGCAGGGTCTTCGGCTCTCATGTTCACTCGCTTCCTCTTACTTCCCTGGCCCGTGTTCACTGTGCCTCCTCCTCTGTCTCTGCCTTGACTTCTCAGCCAAACATTCCCTCTGCCTGAAACCCTGTTCCCCCAACTTCAGCTGTGGATTATACTTAACGGGAGCTCTGTCAGCGCCGTCTGCTCTTCCCAGTCCTGTCCTGAACACCTGAGAAAAGTGGTATCTAGTATGTCCTCAATAAAGTATGTCGAGCGCTCTGAGCTCAGGTCAGTGGCTGAGCACCCCAGTCTCTAAGACAGCCATAGCCCAAACCCAGGACCAGAGCCTTTGTTTCTCCTAGACGTCCGAGGGGCCCAGCGTTCCCTGTTGTAACACTTCCCACTTTCTCTTGCCAACCCCCGGGGGCTGCCTGCCCTCCCAGACAGCTGTGGGAGGGTTGCCCCCTCCAGCAGGGCAGATACGTTCAAAGTCAACTGTTGTTGCATGACACGGTGGTCCAGAAGTGGTTGGAAGGTGCAGCTAAAGGCTTGCCTGCCCCCCCCCCACGTCATGACCATGTGACCACAGGCCGGGAGGAGAGGTCACAGGTCCTGGGCTATCCGAAGAGACAGACCAGAGGAGCAAGCCATGGGCGCTTGTGGTCCCAGCCCGCCCTCCCAAAGGCATCGGAACTCTCCAGGAGTTCAGCTGCTCTGGGTTGCAGTTCAGGCAATTGCTGTGAGGGGCGGGTCATGTGACTATCACCTCAGGACCTCTGAAAGAGCAACCAGTGCTCTTAACCTCTGAGCCATCCCTCCAGCCCCCACCCCATACATTTGAACAGACACGACTGCCTTCCACCTTCAGCCTCTTTCCCCCCTCTTGTTCCCCCACTCTGTCCCTCCCCATCACACACCCCAGTCATCTCTCAGCCCTGTCCCTTCCCATGAAGCTCTTCATCCCTCCATCCCTCCCAGCCTTCTCCTCACCAAGGTATTAGGCAAACAAAGCCCCAGAGACGGTCTCCCCTTTTGACTTTCCCACAGAGGACAGAGACCAGAGCCAGAAAGTGACTTTAATGCTTGGGGCTGAGGGGTAGGATGGGGACTCCTGGGGAGAGGGATTCCGGGAGAGGGTGCAGCAGCAGTGACCCTGAGCGGCCTGTGTCCTCCTCTAGATCATCTGGCACCGGCGGGGGCACATAGGGTCCTTGGAGTGGCAGCTCAAGCCCACTCGGCAGGGACACATGATGTTCAGGGCCCCCTTGGTCTGTGGGAGAGGGAGGATGTGAGGTAAGGGGATTATATTTCCTGGGAGCCAGGCAAGTGTAAGCAGTGATGTGGACGCCCAACCTGAGGCTCCATGTCAGATGACTGAGCCCTTGGCTCCTTGGACCCCTCCTCTGTCCAGGGGGTCAACAGCAGCTGGCCTGGTTTCTCTTTCTAGATTTATTTTATGTGCTTACATGCCTGCATGTTAGATGGCCTGGAACTGGAGTTCCAGATGCTGTGAGCCACCACGTGAGTGCTGGGAAAGGAACCTTGTCCTCTGGCAGAAGTGCTCCACACTGATGAGACACCTCTCCAGCCCCCACCTCTCCACCCCCAGCCTCCCCCGACTGGGTTCCCCTGCCCCACTGGGTTTTTCTGCTAGCATAATCTACAGTCACCTAGGAAGAGGGGACCTCAATTCAGAAACTGTCTCCCTCAGATTGTCCCTGATATGGGAGGGCCTAGCCCACTGTGGGCAGCACCATCCCTAGGCAGGTGGACCTGGTATAACAAGCTAAGCTGAGCCTGGGAGTGAGACACTAATTAGCATTTCTTCATGGTCTCTACTTCTGCTCCTGCCTGCAGTCCCTCAGTGATGGGCTGTGACCTGGAAGTAGAAGCTGTAATGAACCCTTTCTTCTCTGAGTTGCTTTTGGTCCTGGTGTTTGTGTATCACAGAAACGGAAAGCTGACCGGGGGAGTGACTTTTTCCTCTATTATATTACCTTTTCATAATATTATAGTGGGCGAGACGATGTACCCAGTGCCCTCTAACAAAGAGATTCTCCAGGCCACAGTGGGGTCCGTGGCTGCTTTCTTTAGACACTGGTAGTGGGTCAGGCAGGAATAGGGGGGGGCTAGGTCCATCTTCCCTAGGAGAGTTTGGGCCCATGGCCAGTGAGTAGGAACAAGACATTCTGTGCCTTTGTGTCTTCCAGTTGACAGCAGCCTGCTTGAGTGAGCCCTGTGACTGTCCCGGTCACTTTGTGAGGTAGACACATTAGTCCCACTTAATGGGTAGGGAAACAAAAGGTCAGAGAGGGCCCAGGCAGGGAGCTAGGGAAACCAAGATGTGAGCATCCCACCGGAAAGCTGAGGTCCCAGCTAGCCCTGCAGCTCTCCCAAGTGACCAGGTCATGGTGGCAGGAAGATGGGCACTAAGAAAGGGTAGATGTCGTCTCCATCCCCCTTACACCAGAAAGGCTAAGAAAAAGGTTCTCACTCAACAAACGTTTGTTGAGCGTCTACTATGCGCAGTCACCAGGCAGGCCGTGAGGCTTCCCTTGCAAGCTCTCCAGCTGAGTGAGGCAGCCTGGGCGACTGCAGGAGGCGTGGGTAGTGGGGGAAGGGCATCCCAGGAGGTGGGAGCACAGACGTGTTTTTGTTCCCCTCTTCCCCGCTCGCTGGTGCCTCACCTGGGGTAAGCATGCCATGCCCATACGAGACTTGGAGGTGCAGAAGGCCCCGCTTTTTTCCAGGTCTATGAGGCAGCAGTCACTGAGGCAGTGGGTGTGGTGGACGCACCTGTCCCCATTGGCCTGCAGAGACAGCCTTGGTCACCAGCTCCTGTCTATGAAGGGACGGAGGAGCTCCTGGCACTGCCCAAGAACTCAGGGGTCCAGGAAGAGAAGCCACCTCAGACACCTCCCCACAATGTACCCTCTTCCCCAAACAGAGTTTGAGCAAAAGAATCAGGCTCTGGGGCTCAGCCAGTTCCTTCTTCATCCCAATTCCTGCCCTCTCACCTCCATGGCTTCTAAACAATGACACTGGGAAATAGTCCCAGACCACAGTCTGTACAGCTAGTGGGACGGGAGGGAGGGTGGCAAGATGTCTCAGTCAACAAAGGGGCTTGCTATGTGAGACGGGCAGCCTGGGATGACGGGCAGCCTGGGATGACGGGCAGCCTGGGATGGGCAAGGGAGTAAAGAGGGGAGGAGAGAATGGACTTCCCTGAGTTGTTTCTGGTCTTCATGTACATAGATGAAGGAATGAGGGAGGGAGGGAGGGAGGGAGGAAGGAAGGAAGGAAGGAAGGAGAAACTTTCAGAATTAAAAATGGAGGGGAGAAAGATTGCATCCAGAGGAGCCCTAGGCCCTAGAGAAGGGCAGAAGAGGACCCAGAGCCAGCAGTATGGAGGGATTAGAATGTGGTAGACCCAGTGGTGAAATCCGATGGGGCCTGGGCCAGGGGTACTGCTCTCTCGGTCCAGAAAGGTGACTGGAACTTGAAGAGCCTTGTGAAGTGCCCCTGGGGTCCCCTCACACCTCCAGTCAGGGCCTGGATTTCCACTGAGGGAGGCTGCAAACTGCCTGCAGTCCTCAGTCCCCACCCTTTGATCACAGAAGTCGGGGACACTGCTCACCTTTTTATGATCCGAGGTTTCACTGAGGCTGTGTGGCAGGACCCCAGCGAGCAGTGCCAGCGTGGTGGCTAAGGCCCGGGTGAAGGCCATGGCCCGGGTGACTGGAGGTTCCTGAGCAGAACTGTAGGGGTGGTAGCCAGCCGGCGTGGGCCCGATGGTCACAGCCCGTCCTGCTCAGAGGAGGTGGGTAAGGACCGCTGGCTCTGCAGGTGATGGAGGAAAGGCTTTGAACCAGCAGGGCGTTTATGCTGTGGGTGGGACCTTGGGCCTCATATGAGCTGCTTCTAAACACAGAATTCAAACTGTGAGTGAAAGCTCATTTAAAATGTGACCGGGTTTGGTTCTGAGCACCCACAAAGTGACTCACAACCATCTGTAACTCCAGTTCTGGGTAACATAACCTTCTCTGACTCCTGACGGCACCAGGCACAACATGGTGCACAGACATACCTGTAAGCGAAGCACTCATACACATAAAATAGATTTTTTTTTAATTTTGTTTTTTTTTGAGGGGGATGGTTGTTTTTTACTTTCTTGAGACAGGTCTCTCTGTGTAGCCTTGGCTGTCCTGGAACTCATTCTGCAGACCAGGCTAGCCTCGAACTTACAGAGATCCACCTGCATCTCCCTGCACTCAGACGGTGGAGACAGGTGGAGCAGAACGTTCAAGGTCATCCTTGGCTATGTAGTAAGTTTGAAGTCAGCCTGAGCTACACTTTCTAAAAAACAAACCCCAGGGAATGGGGATGACCCGCCTCACACCCACAAAGCCTGGGTCTGATCCCTAGTACCACATAAACTGAGGGGGTGGCACAAGCCCGTAGTCCCAGCATTCCAGAGCCTGAAGCTCAAAGCCAGTCAGTCTGAGGCTAGCCTGGGCTATGAGGTGTTGTGACCATTTGGAGTCCTGGCCTCCAGCTGCTCTTCCCTGCTAGAGATCTTTACTTTCCTTCTGATTTGAGTCACTGAAAGCTGTGTCAAAGTTGTTTACCAGCTCTGCTTCACGAGTGTGTGTTGCCTTGGCCTTGAGGGTCAGAGGATAAGGTTTTCACCTGTTGGCCCACCTGACTGTGTTGGGTATATAAGCCTCCGTGGTGCTTTTGAATAAAGGGCTTCTTACCAGTGACTAGAGGTCCGCGTCTCTGTCTGTCTGTCTGTCTGGGTGTTTCAACCTCCAGCCCCTTGCCCGAAGCTGGCGAACTGTATGGTAGCACAGAGACCGCAGACGGGCGTTGTGTGCCACAACAAGGGACCCTATCTCAAGAGTACTGAGTTTGAAGGCGGAGGCAGAGCTGCCAAACTCACTGAAGACAGGACCAGAACTCTAGGAAGGGAAGGAGACAATAGCAAGCTCCTGCCTAGAATGCCTAGGGCAGCCCAGGGTGCCTGCCGGGGGGTGGGGGGATGATACTTTGCGTGGCTTTAATGGGTACCTGGGGCTTGGCAGACAGAAGCAGGGCTTCCAGGCAGGGACAAATGAGGCAAAGGTGAGAAATGACAGTGTCCAAAGCTGGTGAGAAAGGCCATCTGTGTTTGGGGTGGGGGTGGGGGGTCAGCTCTAGGTGGGGTGCAGAACAGAGAACTCAGGGAGGTTATTTGGAGAAGCTGGCTGAGGTGGCTCCTCTGGGGAAAGTTATTGATTGTGGAGCTAGAATTGGGACAAGAGACTCTACCCTGTGACTCAGATACAGGGCGAGGCTGGCTGTACTGATCTGCGAGGACACCAGACATCTGGAGACAGAGGCCCATCAGCTTATGTGCTACCATACAGTTCGTGAACCAGGCAAGGGGCTGGCGATTGAAACACACAGAGATACAGGTCATCCTTGATGCCAGAATGTCCCCCTTATTGTGTCCAGGGGCAGCGTCTATAGGGATCCTTAACTGATAGCCACGCCCCAGCTAAACGCACCAGAAACCACTCCCCTGCCATCAGGAACTCTTGAGGGTCTCGTGCTCAGAGCAGCTGCAAGCATTACAAGTTGTTTACCAGAAATTCAGGATCTGGGGGGTTCTCCGCTCCCAATAGGGACCAACTTCGAGCCATCCCCTCCCCTCCCGTCCTCATCCCCTCCACTCTCCAGTACTCATCCCCGTGACAGGGCAGGACTGGACTGGGACATACAGTGCTCTCCCATCTCCTCCAGGACCTGCTGGCCTCATCAGTTCTCAGAGGAAGCAACCTGGAGGGAGCTACATGAGCCTACATAGCTGCTCTCTGGACCTGGCTGGGCCTAGCACCGGTATGTCACCCTGGAAGACGGAGGTGGACAGTCCTTCCTAGGAGCCAGGGGTGTTGCCCCATCGCCTGACACACCACACACGCACACACACACGCACACACACACGCACACACGACCCTCCTGCCTCCACCTCATGAGTGCTGGTCACCACACATGTGCTTACCACACCCAGTTTGGGGCTTGACACCATGCCTGGTTCAGGCAGTGCTGAGGATTAGACCAGGGCTTGTGTCCTCCAGGACATCATTCTACCAGCTGAGCTACCTGCCGCCGGATCTAACATTTTACATGTAAAATCCCAAAGATACAGTTCTGTGTCCGCAGACGTGTGAAGCCAGGATGACAGACACGCGCGCGCGCGCACACACACACACACGTTTCTGAAGTCCTGAAGGGTCTCTCCTTCATGCAAGGCTCTGTGGAGTCCTCTGTGTCTTTCAGGGGAAGGGATTTTTTTTTTACTCCTCACCATACAGCCCCGGCTGGCCTGGAATTTGTGACGTAGACCAGACTGGCCTCAAACTCCCTGAGATCCGCTGGCTTCTGTTGTCTGAACGCTGGGGAAAGACACAGTTGGCACAGTGCAAGCTTGGGGATTGGAAAGGACCACTTGGAGTGGGAGGCATTCTCTTCTGCCATTTAGGTTTTGGGGACTGAACTCAGGTTGCCAATCTCGACTGCAAGCACTTTTGCCCACTGAGCCTTCCCCAAGCCCCCCCCCCCCTCTTTTTTAGGCAGGGTCTCATATCTCATATGATTCTTCTATGATTGACTTTACCTTCATGAGCTGGCCTTGAACTCCCGATCCTCCTCCCTCTGCCTTCCAAGTGCTAGGATTACAGCCTCCATATCCAGCTCACCACAAGAGACACTGAGATTTTGCTTTAGTTTGTTCTGAGACCGGATTCCACTTTGTAGCCCAGTCTGGCCTGGAACTCACTGTGTAGCTCAGGCTGGCCTCAAATTCATGGCAATCCTCCTGTCTCAGCCTCCCAAGTGTTGCAAATACAGGGATGACATCACATCTAGCTCTGAGGAATTTTTTTTTTTAATCTTAATCTCTGGTCTTTTTACAAAAAATGCTGGTCATGATCCTTCAGCTTGTTCCCACTGCCCCCTTGTGGGGCAGCCACAGCTCTACCACTGTCGAGTCCCCTGGCTGTCCTGGAACTCGCTCTGTAGACCAGGCTGGCCTCAAACTCCCAGAGAGCCTGCCTCTGCCTCCCCAGTGCTGAGACTAAAGGCGTTTGTCTTTAGAATCTTTAAAGAGCAAATGTGGACTGTAGCCCAGTTGTTAACACCTGAAGTCAGATCCCCAGAATTCATGTAAAGTGTGTGTGTGTGTGTGTGTGGTTTCTCCTGTAAATCTAACCCCTGGGGCAGATGCAGGATCCCTCAGTACACTTGCTAGCAAAACTAGCCTTGTCTAGGTGCTCTGGGTTTGACTGAGAGACCCTGCCTTAGTGAGGAATGTGGACGAGAGAGAGTGTGGCAGCCAACCCGGCACACCTGGGGAGGAGGGACTTCAAATGAAGACTTGCTCCTTCAGATTGGCCTGGGACATTGTCTGTGGAGCATTTTCTTGATTGCTGATTGGCCTAGAAGGTGCCAGTCCCAAGGTGGGACCAAGCTGTATAAAAAGCTGACCATGAGCCAAAGAGCAAGCTAGAAGAAAACGTCCCATCGTTTGTGCTTCGGTTCCTGCCTTGATTTCCCTAAATGAAGGACTGTGACCTGAAAGTGGAAGCCAATTAGACCCCTTCCTCCCCTAGTTGGTTTTGGTCATGAGATTCTTAAAGAAGTGACTCCTTGCCCACTAAGATGGCCCTTAGGGCCCAGAACAGCAGTGGAGGGCTCTCCCCTCCCTAAGTCTGTTCAGTCAGTGAAAGTTAGATCCGCAGTGTCCAGCTACTGTGGGGTGGGGGGGCATCTCCAGGACTGCTCAGGGGCAGCTCTCTGAGCAGGAGAAGTCCGGCTTCATTCTGAGATCAGGTGTTCCTGCTAGGGAGAGTACACACTGCCATCAGGTCTGTTGACCATTCCCTCAGAGAAGGAGCGGGGTCGGTCACTGGACCCTCCCCTGAGATTCCAGCCACCTTCTTGTGCACCTCTTGGTCACTTGTATGCAATTCTGTCCTATTTCACGTGGCCTGGGGTGGGGGGAGGTTAGAGCATATTGGTTGGGGCAGAACTGAGTGGGGTTACTTCTGTGGCTCTGAAGAGGCCACTTGCCATGCTGGGGGAAAACTTTGCAGTGGCACTGCTTTGGGGTCCCCTCATCATCCTCTTAGTACCCCAGCACCTGCAGAGTGTCCGTGTGACTTTCTGGGCAGCCCATGGCCTTTCTCTCCCATCTTGACCTTACTATTCCATTTGTGTGTGTGAGAGAGAAATGTGTGTTCATGCCTGTGGAAGCCAGGGGACAGCACCTCAGGGTGTCCTCAAAGGCTGTGCACTTTTTTTTTTTTAAAAGAACTCTGGATATTTTTTAATATTTATTTATTTATTATGTATACAATATTCTTTCTACGTGTATGCCTGCAGGCCAGAAGAGGGCACCAGACCTCATCACAGATGGTTGTGAGCCACCATGTGGTTGCTGGGAATTGAACTCAGGACCTTTGGAAGAGCAGGCAATGCTCTTAACCTCTGAGCCATCTCTCCAGCCCCGGGCTGTGCACTTTTTAAAAAGTTGAAAGAAAATATTTTGCGATCGGGTCTCTTCCTTGTTTGTTTGGAACTTACATGGGAGCCTGGCTGGCTAGTGAGCCCCAAGACCCCCCTCCCCCGCTGTCTGTGTCTCCCCAGTTCTTTGATTACAAGCTCTTCCATGACGGGGTTTTGTTTTTTCTGTATGTTTCCGTTGAGATTTTATTGGTTGTGGACCAGCACACAGACATTTCAATTCTTAACACATGTACGAAACCTCTGGAGTCACGTGTTCCTTTTTGAACAGTTACTCAGAGACGTTCCATCCTTAAGACCTCAAACCATCAAACGCTCAGACTCTTCATTTCTGCCGACTCACGGTTTTATGCCGCACACAGCACATGCTGAAATCCTCAAGATGGAAACTCACTCTGAAATAATTAAGATACATTTTTTTCCTTTTAAAAATTTACGTTTAGGGGCTGGAGAGATGGCTCAGTGGTTAAGAGCATTGCCTGCTCTTCCAAAGGTCCTGAGTTCAATTCCCAGCAACCACACGGTGGCTCACAACCATCTGTAATGAGATCTGGTGCCCTCTTCTGGCCTGCAGGCATACACACAGACAGAATATTGTATACACAATAAATAAATAAATCTTAAACAAAAACAGCTGTTGTAAGTGCACAAAAAAATTTACATTAACTGTGTACGGCGTACGGAGTGGCACCTTCCTCCCGCAGGCACATGAGGTCAGAGGACAGCTCGCAGGAGTTCATGCTTGCCTTCTGCCGTGTGGCTGCCGAGGATCCACATCAAGCTTGGCCGCAAGCACCTTTACTCCCTGAGCCGTCTCGCAGGCCCCAGGCACGTTTTTGTGTTTTACTTTAGAATACACAGTATTGAGATTTTTCTACGCTTGCTCTGGGGAAGCCAGATGCTATGACCTGAAGACTCCAACATCCTGCAGAGAGAAAGAGGGAGAGAGAGAGGACCTGGCATCAGCTGGCCGCACAGGGAGCCACCTCTTGTCAGGGGACAGTCCTTACTGAGCCCTCGGCTGACTAGAGAGAGCCCTGGCCAAGGCTGAACCAACCACAGCTTGATGGAACCAGACAAATCAACCCAAACGTTCCCATGTTCCCAAGATAACAATTGTATGCTGTGAGTCACAGCCTTGTACAGCAAAAGCACACTGACAGACTAGAGAAACTCACGGGAGTGCGGTCCGTCCAACCAGGAACCCGTTTGCGGAGCTTCGGGAACGCCTGTCTTTTGGAGTCGCTGCCCATTCTGTAGCAATCTTAGGAAGCCATGGCCCTTCTCCATCATGGTTTTCATCCCAGATGTCCCAGCAGCATATGAATCATTCGTTGAGTTAGATAACTTCTTCCTGTATGGGCAACTAGACGACCTCATCCACACCGTGGGGCCCTGGTATGAAAGCATTTATTCAGCCAGACCTTTGATCTTATAGTCAATTCTACATAAAGCTGGTCCCCCACAACTGTCCTTATTGACAGGAAAGGAGCCCTGAGCAGGAGGCACTGAGCAGAGAGGCAGCAGGTCTGCTCTTACTGATAAACAGGTCCGGGTGGCCCTGAGTTCTCTAGCAGCAGACTCAGGTGTAACCCGCTGGCCTTTGCTCTACCCTCACAAGCTGTTAACATTCTGTGCTTACCTTCACCTTTCATTTGACACAAGGTCTGAGTCTAGGAAATTAGCTGTTTGCACCTTTTCCCCTTAAATGTGCAGGAACAAATCTTGGGTTGCTAAACCAACCCCAGAGTCCTTCTCACCTGGGTGCCAGCGGATTCAGCGCCAGGATGCTCAGCCAGGGGACAAGCTCCATCCTAACCCTCCCAGTATCTGCCAGGGAGCTTCACAGCCACGCCCCTTCTGAGACACACTGGGCCCACCACGTCAGTCTTTTATCCTTCCTGTTAGCCCTAAGAGATGCATGCTCAGTAGCATTGCTGTTTCTCTGAGAATTGTTAACTACGTGCCTTTGGGCACATGCACTGGAAACCTGGCGGGATGGGAAAACCAGTGAGCAGCCCCAAAAGAGACCATCGAATGGGGAGCGTCAAGAGACCTTTAGAGAGAGCACAGAAAGAATGAATGGGACCTGACGAAAAGGCTTAGGTATTTGTTTACCCTCAGACCTCACTAGTCAGGGTTCCGGCTGCTATAGCGACCCTTCTGAATCCTGAGAGGTTTTGATGGGGCTTAACCCCAACGTAAGCTGTTGGTTTTTGTTTTTATGTTTTTAGGCAGTCTACCCATGGACTGTCCCCCTGAGAAGGGACAATCTGTGTCTTCTCCATGATGACGTCACGGCTCAGCTCCTGCGATGGCCTCCCAGTCCCATCAGGCCCGTAAGTGTCATTTTCCTATTTGTTTTATAGATAAGGGGACTGAAGCAAAACAGGGCCCTGCCCCACCGCAGGTCAGGCAGCCAACAGATGACAGAGCTAGGATTCGAACCCAGCACTCGCAATCCAGGGTTGTCAACCGTACCTAGTCGGTCTGTCACTCTCTGTCCATCGATGTGGTCACCAAACATTTTCAGGTCTTCCTCCATGCCCCCTTTGTGGCCACTGGAATGTGCACAGCCTCATTTCCAGTGGAAACTCAGTGGGGTGGAGAACACAGTTAGTTAATACTCGAGAATACGCTGGGGTCTGGGAGTCCCTGAGAAGCTGTGGTTCCTCCTCTGCCCAGGACTTAAAGGGGCATGTGGTGTAAGGAAGTGTCCGGGCCGGCATGACGGTTCAGCAGGTAAAGGCGCGTGTTGCCATGCCTGACAACCCGAGTTCAACCCTCGGATCCACACGGTGGAAGGAGAGAGCTAACTCTCCCTAGCAGTTGTCCTCTGACATATATGTACTATGGCATGGCATGCGCACACACATACAAACACACATGCAATAGAAATGTAAAGTCCAAGTGCCTTGACGGTAGGCATTGTATCAGGGTTCTCTAGAGGAACGGGCCGATAGACTACGTGCAGACGCGCAGTTTGAGATGTGTATACCAGCCTGCCTCTGCTTCCGAGGGCTGGGATTAAAGCCGTGTGCCCCATGCCTGGTTTAAACCCATCATTCTGAAGGGTCTATGGGCGAGCCCCACGGATGCAGCCTCTGTAAGGCCTGGGGTGGATGGTGGCGTGTCACAGAAGGAGCTCCTGTGACAACAGACTTAGCACCAGACAGAAGGTCAGAAAGAGGACAGGCTCCCACAGCTCCCACAACAGCCCACACCCTAGAAGACCACACCGTTTGCAATAGGAGGTACTCTGGGGAGATTCTTAAACCCCTGCTGGAGGACTGAAGGGATGGTTCAGTGGTTAGGAGTACTTGATGCTCTTGCAGAGGACCCGGGTCCCCAGCACCTGAATGATTGTTCACAACCACCTCTCACTGTAGTTCCAGTTACACAGAACACACACAGACACACTTACACACAGAGACACATGCACATGCACACACACACCCCGCAGCACCTATGTCTCCCCAGGAAAGGATGGGCTTCATATTCAGGTGTTAAAAGGCGTCTGGGAGATGACTTGGGGAGTCAAAGTGAGAACTGGAGTCCAGAGTCCTCAGAACCCAAGCAAATGCCAGTGGGCAGAGCAACTGCCCTGTCTTCCAGCCTTGAAGGCAGAGACGAGAGGGGAGGGATCCCCCGATGAACTGGCTGTGAGCGGGCTTGACTGAGACACCCCACCTCGGTGACTAAGGTGGAGGAGGTCGAGCCTCCACCTGCACAAGCACACACATGTACACAAACATGCACATGTGCTCACATACGGACACATGCATACACACACACACACACCACATAAAAAAACAGAAAAAGAAAAACAGATTTGAAGAGCAGCAACAGAAGGAGGGTTTCAGTCTCCCAAACACAAAAGTGGAGTGCCTTTGGGAGACTCGCCCTTGCTGTGCCATGGCCTAGGCGGAGGTCCTGATGACCCTGGGAGGCCACGGACAGACGCTTGCTTCCAGGAGCCTCTCCTTTCCCCCCCGTATGCATTTATTGGTTCTTCTTAACGTTACTCCCCGTTTTTAAAGTAGGAATGGCTGGGACGGCAGGCTGAGGGTCGGGACCCCAAGTCCTGGGGACACTGCAAGCTGACTATGACTTTGCAGGCCTGGATCTGGACTTCCTCCTCGGGGTGGATGACCAAGGAGAGCAGTCGGTCGGCCAGTCTGGACTCATCCCCAAAGAGGGCTTCGTGTAGGGACTGCTCGTTGTAATGCCACTTCACTGCTCGGTAGTGGCCTGAGTTCCGGCCCTCACTCAGCCGCTCAGCAAACACCAGCACCTCAAACAGCAGACTCCCCGGCTGTGAGGACTGGAAGAGGTTCAGGAAGTTGGAGTGCACCTGTGTTGGGGGTGGGAGAGAACCGTGAGCTCCGGCCTGTTCTAAAATCTGCACTTGAGTGGTTTCCTGAGATTAATATTAAGACCGAGTGTATGAGGTGGGAGAGAGGGGCTTGGCCATTAAGAGCTCTGACTTCCCTTGCAGAGGACTGCTATTGGATTCTCAGCACCCACACATGGGTGGCTCACAACTCTCTGTAGCTCCAGTTCCAGGAGTGCTGACGCCCTCTGTTGGCCTCCACAGGCACTGCACACAGGTGATGCACAGACACCCATGCAAACACCCATGCACATTAAAAAATAATTTTAAAAAGTCTACCCAGTGAACACAATCCTCCCAACACACACATTGGCGTCCCATCAGCCCCTCTCCATCTTTTTTTCACCTGACAGTTGAGAATGTCATAGAGAAGGTCATTCTTCTGCGCCAGGTAACTCAGCAGGCGGACAACTTGTACCTGAATAAGGAAGAGCAGGAGAGGGCCGGTGGGTCTGGGCCTCAGCAGGGGAGGCTTGAACCTCTGCTCGTCCCTCTAGGTGCTGCTCCGCAGCCCTAATGGGCAGGCACCTGTGCCAGGACATAGTCCGACTGCATGATCTCCATCAGGGCGGGCATCACCCGCCGCAGCTGTGGGTGCACGAAGTCAGGGAGCGGGAGGTTGTTGAGGAGGCGAAGGCCAGCTACATGCAGCTCCATGTCCCAGATGGTCGAGATCAGCTCCAGCACCTTGATGGAATGTTCCTGGGGTGGAGAGAAGGGTCTGCTTTCATATGGCGACCTCCCTGACACACCATGCTCCATGTCACCCTTTACTTGCCCACCCGGGACCCAGTAGACGATGCTCCCTACCTTGAATGGGAAGCACCGCACGCCTTGGGCAGCCAGGCCCGCCTCATGTGGATTTTTCCCCTTGCTAGTCTTCCTAAGCCTTCTGCCCAACACTCTCTTCTCTGCTTCACCCCCTTGGTAAGGTCACCAACCCACCCGTTAACCCCACTTTCTCCACACCCCAAATCTGCTTCCTTGGTCCTGGCCACCAGTCTCACATTCCCTCCCAGCCCCAACCTGCAGTATCCTCCAGTTCTTTCTCTCTCTGCTCTCTCTCTTCCTCTCTCCGCTCCCTGTCCCTCCCCTTCGTCCCCTCTCACTCCCTTTCCCATCCCTCAGAAATCTTTTTGGTTTTATCTTCAAACCCAGCAAAAGGGGTTAGGGAGACGTGGGTAAAGTACTTGTGGTACAAGCGTGTCAGACCTGAGTTCAAACCCTGAAATGCATGTAAGGCGGAAAGAGAGAACCAATTCCACAAAGCTGTCGTCTGACCTCCACACATACACTGTGGCACTTGTGCACACATACACACACACATGCACACATACACACACTAACAATCATTTCTAAAAATCCAGCGAAAGGGCCAGTAAGCTGGCTCAGCAGGCAAAGGTGCTTGCTACCAAGCCTGACAAACTGAATCTGATCTCCACGTTCCACGGGTGGAAGGAGAGAACCGATCTCTGCAGGGTGACCTCTGACCTCCACAGCTGTGCCCTGGCATGTGCATGCCCAGATTCACACATACACACAATTAAAAAAAAAGTTTGTATATTTAAAAAAAAAAGTCTTATGTAAAGCCAAACTGCTTCTTATCCATCCCCACTTCTACCACCTTCTTCCAAGCCCCCATCTCTGACCCAGATTTTTGCAATGGTGTCCTGTCCCCCACTTTCCATCCTGCCCCCTGCATCTTGGTTCAGAACACCTGAAGACTTAGATCTGCTGCTCCTCTCTCCCCTGCCCCGGCCACTCACTAGGTAAAAAGCCGAAATCCTTAGAGATGCTCGGTCACCATCCCACTGGCTCTGCTCCAGTCTTCCGATCTTCAACCCTCCCTTCCTGTCTTTGTTAGCAGCGAGGGGCTCACCACAAAGGGCCCTGAGGTGTTCCTTGAACATACCAGCTAGTGGCACAGACTGTTCCCTCATCCTGCCATGCTTTGCTGAAATGTCACCTCGGAAGGTCCTCCCTGGCCACACGCCCCATCCCCCTTCTCCTTCCCTTCCGTCTTCAAATTATACCACAGTTTAACCAAGATGATTCAAAAAACCTGTAAGATGTTTTGGTAGCTTTTAGTTTGAGCCAATTTGAAATAAGGCTGCTATGTGTAATGGTGCACCTTTTCTTTTTTCTTATTCTTTCTTTTTTTATTTTTCGAGACAGGGTTTGCCTATGTAACAGTCCCAGCTGTCCTGGAACTTGCTCTGTAGACCAGGCTGGTCTTGACCTCACAGAGATCCGCCTGCCTCTGCCTCCCGAGTGCTGGGATTAAAGTCGTGCGCCACCACTGCCCAACAGAAATTGTGTAGCCCAGGTTGGCCTAGAACTTGTGATCCTCTTGCCTCCACCTCCTTCTGCAAATCCTGCCGGTGTGCTCCACCACCAGCCAGCTGATGTACCATTTCTATGAGCTGTAAGTTTTCATTTCTCTGGGATAAAAACCTAGGAGCAGTGCAACTACCAGTTGATAGATGTGTATTCAGTGTTTTAAGAGACTACTAAATTGGCCAGGCAGAGGTGGCGCACGCCTTTAATCCCAGCACTTGGGAGGCAGAGGCAGGCAGATCTTTATGAGTTTGAGGCCAGCCTGGGCTACAGAACTAGTTCCGGGACAGCCAGGGACACATAGAAACCCTGTCTCAGGAAAACAAAACAAAACAAAAAGAAAAGAAAATGACTAAGCCAATTTCCAGAGTGACTGTGCTCCCATCTTATATTCACACCAGCAATGTGGGTGACACCTAGTTTTGCTATATTTTTGTAGCATTTGGTGTTATCAACTGATTTTAAGATTTATGTATTTATGTATATGAGTGTATCATTTTCACAAATGCATACTGGAAGAGGGCATCAGATCCCATGGGACTACAGTTATAGGTGGCTGTGAGCCATACCTTGCTGAGGATTGAACTCAGGTCCTCTGGAAGAGCAGCCAGAGCTCTTAACCTCTGACCCATCTCTCCAACCCACCAGCTAACTTTTATTTTTAGCTATGCTTTTAATTTTGAAGGTTATGATTATGATTGTGTGTGGGTGGTGGTGAGGTGGTGTACAGGGTTGGGTGGGAGGCGCATAAGTGGAGGTCAGAGGACAGCCTGTGGGAACTGGCTCTCTCAGGTGGCCAGGCTCGGCAGATACCCACCGCGCTCCCTCATCAGCCCTGTGTTTGAAATCTTGATGCATCTCTCATCAAACATGTGGTTTGTTGTTTATTTCTGTTTTTAAAACGGGGTCTCTTGTAGCCCAGGCCGGTCTCAAATATGCTCTGTAGCTGAGGGTGCCCTTGAACTCCTGACCTCCTTGCCCTACCTCCTGAGTGCTGGGGTCGCAGCACAAGAACGGCACCTAGTTATGATCTGGATGGAGCCCAGCTTCTCCAGGCTAGGCCTGCACTCTGCCCACGGGGCCGCATCCACACACCCTATCTTTTTCTTTTAAAGAGTATGTGTTTGATGTCGCAAAGGATTCAGCATAGAGGCAACAAAAGATCACTTCCTTCAAAACTGCACCCCACCCCCACATGACCTTCCTCACCCACTCCCCTTTTTCTCACTTGAGACAGAATCTCATAGTGTAACCCTGGCTGTTCTGGAACTCGCTCTGTAGACCAGGATGGTCCTGCCTACAGATCCGCCTGCCTCTGCCTCCCGGGTGCTGGGAATAAAGCCGCTTCCCACTTCTTGATTTCCTCCTCAGGCCTCACATCAGAGGCGCCGCCGTGCACCTGACTGTGTCCCCTGACTCCCCCCTGTTAGGATGTGTATCCCGCAAGGACCAGCATTGCCCCTTTCAGTGTACCCAAGTCAGGGTCAACAGACAAGCGGCTAGAGGGATTTTGAGTGGTGAGGGTTAAGATATCGAACAACACAAGCCCAAGCTGGTCCCTTCAGCAACAAGGCAAAGTCCCTATGAAAGCAGGCATTCCCTGCCTGCCCCACTGCCTTCTGGGAGTGGATGGCGGGTGGAAGTCTGGGGCAGGGCCTCAGAAAGAAGGAAGAGCAAGGTGCAGGAACAGGCCTGGAACTTCCTTTTATATGGCTGGGGTTAGGGCAAGGAGGCACGGCCCACAGCCAATGTCACATTCCTGCTCAGAGTTTCTAAGAGCACAGCCAGGCGGTGGTGGCACACGCTGGAGGCAGAGGCAGGCGGAGTTTGAGGCCAGCCTGGTCTACAAGAGCTGGTTCCAGAACAGGCTCCAAAGCTGCAGAGAAACCCTGTCTCAAAAAACAAACAAGAAAGAGCAAACCATGGTCTGATTGAAAATGTAGGGCGGTTAGGATAGAGGCCCTACAGCAGGCCTAGGTAGGATATCTGGTGATAGCTGGCCATGAGGAAGCAGGGGAATCCCCACCCCCAAACCCCACCCCTAGACTGCAGGGACCTGGAAAGCCCTTCTGAATAGAAAGGGTTCCGCCTTCCCAAAACAAGAGAGCACCCATCCTCTGAGGCGCATGCAACACGCAGGGCTGCAGCTTCCCTGTGGGAACTGAACTCTGTAGCATAGCATGCAATACAGGAACTGAACTCCACAGGGTGGCATGTGACACGCAGGGCTGCAGCTCCATGCGGGGAGTGAACTCCACAGGATTCCATGCGACACGCAGGGCTGCAGCTCCTCATGGAAGAGCTCCACAGGCTCTCTCATGGAAGCAGCTTGAGGTGGCCGGGGAGGACCAGAGCTTTCAGGCAACAGGGAAGCTAAGGTGCCGTGCTCCATGAGTGGGTGGGGGGAGCACCACCAAGTGAAGACCTCAAGAAAACGTTATTGTTTTAAAATTACTCTCAACTCCAAGAGCCCCAGGCCTGCCCCAAACTCACAGTCCTCTGACCTTAGACCTCCTGAGCACTAGGGGTACGGAAGTGCACCATGTCTCAGCCTGAGCTTTCGTTTCAAAAGCATGTTCCATGTAAGAAACAACTCTAGTTTGCCTTTTCTGTGTGTGTGTGTGTGGCGGTGACTAACACCATGGCTGAAAGAATGTGAGGGAGGGAAGGACTATCTGGTTACAGCTCCAGGTCACAACTGGAGGCAGGGCACCAACCCGGAGACAAGAGTACTACTACGACCTATTTCTACTATGACCTATTACTACTATAACCGCGAAGGGGCTAGGGAGACGAAGGGCGAGCCAACAGGACCATTCAGGCAGGCCTGATGGGGCTGTATCCTGGGGTAACGCTGTGGAAACGCTGGATACCACCTTGGACCAAGCCCTGCCTCCCCTGCAGGCCAATCTACGGCAATGCTCCAGGGCATGGAGGGTGCGCGCAGCATGCTCATGGCATGTGGAGGTGCAGGAATTACCAGGGATAGCTCAACCATCCAACCATGGGCAAACAGTAAGGTGGCCACAAAACAGACTGCTGAATATTAGCCACTATCTGAAGAAGGAAATAGAATGTCCAGGGGAGGATACATCTTAGTCTTTTCAATGTTTGGGGTGTGAGTGAAAGCAAACCACACAAGACTACAGACCGCTTATGTATGGTCTGAAACCAAAAGGCCCCCTCCCCGGCACGTGTTTTGAATCCTTGTTCCCAGGTGGCGGCTCCATTTTAGGAGGCTGTGGAATCCTTAGGAGGTGGGGCCTCACTGGTAGAAGTGGGTCACAAGAGGCAGGTCTTTGAAGGGTCCATCTTGCTTCTGGTTCCTGTGTCTTTCTCTGCTTCCTGGTATTCTATGACACATACCCCCATATCACAGGCTCCCACCACCAAGGACCAAGCTGCTGTTGCTGCTGTCATGAAGCTACTGTCGCGCCTCCCCGCGCCCCCTGTGATGAGCTGACACCTTGAGCCAAGTTAATCATTTCCTCCCTATTTGTTCTATCGTGCTCGCGGTGGTAATGCTGCAGAGTTAACTCTGTGCAGGAAACTGGTACCAGGAGTGGGGCTGTTGCTAACAGCCCAGTGGTGTGACTCTCAGGCCCCTGGAACTTGTTTGGAAAAGATTGGAGGTACGGGCTAGAAACTCCCTAGAACCCTGGAAGTGGAGCTTGGCAGATTATGAATGCCGATAGACGCCAAACAGCACAGACTCTATCTGCGAGGATTCAGGTGGAGAACGAGGATTGGGTTGAGAACTGGACCACAGGACATCCACATTTGTCTAGATTTTTCCTGGGCCTTGAAATTTTGAATGAGGTTGAATTTGGAAAGCAACGGCCTGCTGGTTTGGTGGAGGGATTTCAAAGGCAGCTCAAAATCCAGGCTGCGGTGCCGTGAAGGTGGCAGGTGATTGCGAACTACCGTTAGCCAGTCTCACGGTGAAAACCGGGAGCAAAGAGCAGAGCAGAAGGATCTGAACGCATGCAATTTGTGCACACATAAGAGGAACACATTTAAAAGTGCAGAGAAAATGACCGTACTTGCTAAAGAGATTGACACCATTAAAGAAAAGGTGAACAGCCAATAGGAAACAGTAACTTCTGGATGTTTGAGGTGAGACCCCACTCCAGGGTACGAAACTGGAGATTCACTAGTAAGACCCTCCTAGAATGCCACCAGAGTGTTCTGTTCACAAAGGGCCACCTAGAAAAGGCCGCTGTGGCTGCAGTACAAGGTGGCCTTAGCCACTCACTGCCCAGGCTGGCAGCAGGACTTGGCATCATAACTGTGGGCTGGCTTTGCAGGCATGCACAGGACAAAGATGTCACAGATGCTTCCACCAGGATTCCAGAAAACAGAGAAGCCCAAAGCCCAAGAAGCCAGGCAGAGGGTTTAGAGTTGTGGTCCCTTCCGGAAGCCCCTAAGAGGGTTGTGCACACAGCTGTGAGGGGGAAGACAAGGCTGCAATGCAGACTCCACGATACGGGATGCCAAGAATGCGGGCTGTCTGCTGAGGAGGAAAGCTGTGGGTATGGACGGACTGGAGCCAGCCCAGGAGAGAACAGCAAATGTAAGACCTTAGGGCTGGGGTTACGTAGGCACCTATGGTACTCCGTGTCACCACGGCCCTAGCTACCAAACACGGAGCTGCAGGATGTAATGCCCACCCTGCTGGGTTTTTTCCTATCCCTCCTTTATCCACTACTATCCCTTCCTCCCTTTTGGAATGGGAATGTTCACTCTGGGGTTATATGCTGGGAGCATCTTTTTGATTTTACAGGCATTCACAGTTAAGAGTCTATGCCGAGTCTCAGAGCAGAGTGTACCTACAAACACTATTGGAACTGTTCAGACTTGGGAGACTTTAAGAGATGGATTAAATAAATCCATTATGCATTGGAGATGGCTGAATCCTGGGGGCAGAGGAGGAATTCTATAGTTAGAATATGAAGTTAGGGGCTGAAGAGGTAGCTCAGAGGTTAAGATCCCTTGCTGTTCTCACAGAGGACTCAAGTTCACCAGAGTGCTCTGTTCGCAAAGAGGTGACTCACAGCTGCCTGAAGTCTAGCTTCAGGGGACTGTGTCTCCCTCTTCTCTTGGCTGGCCATATTTGGGGAAGGGGCTGCATGTGTGAGCACGTGTGGAGGTCAGAGGACAGCTTGTGGGAGCTGGTTCTCTCCTTCGACCGTGCGGGGCCTGGGAATAAAATTTAGGTGGTCAGACTTAGACGCAAGTGCCCTTACCTACTGAGCCATCTTGCCCTGAGTTTTGTTTGAATTGTTATTCTTTCTGTCTCACACACACAAAAGATGTTGTCAGCAGGGCGGTGGTGGTGCACGCCTTTAATCCCAGCACTTGGAGGCAGAGGCAGGTGGATCTCTGTGGGTTTGAGGCCAGCCTGGTCTACAGAGTGAGTTCCAGGACAGCCAGGGCTACCTAGAGATACTCTGTCTTGCAAACAGCCAATATGAGAGTGTGAATTAAATATTTAACCTTTTACTTCTTAAAGAATATGTGATTACTGTGTGTGTGTAAGACTTGGAGTACACGTGTGCCCTCGCTTGCACGTGGGGGGTGTCAGAGGATGGCTTTTGGGGGCCAGTTTTCAAACTCAGGTCAGCACGTTTACCCTCCCAGCCCTTAGCCATTTTTAACTGGTGAGGAAGAGACATTTTGCTAGAAAGCAATTTGGGGTCAAAGACCTTATATTTTAGAATTTACTTTTTGTTGTTGTTGTTTTGTTTTTCTGAGTCATCAGACCGTAGACTCTGGAATGGACTTCACCTCCCAATTCTCCTACCTCCACCTCTGCTGGCTTCTGGGGTCCTGAGGCCAGGACTCCCCCAGCTGAGCTAGCTGGGTCCCCAGTTGCTGTTTGCTTTTTTAAACATCCCTGTGGTGAGCTCTTAGGTCACCAAAAAGACTAAACCAGGATTAGGACACAGGAATCTTCAGCCTCACTCCAAGCGCCACAGAGGGAGGTGGCAGAGCTGGTGGCCACTGGGCTGCCATTCCCACACAGGGGAGTGCCCGAGAGAGACTGAACCATAAGGTTTGGCCAGCGGAAAACAAACTCCCATCTTTTCTCCTGACCTTGGCCTATTTCTCCTCTCTTCCGTCTGGCTGGTGTGGAGCTGTGACTTCTGTGTCCCTTCAGCTCCTTCTCCAGCCTAAGCGGGAAGGTGTGGTAACCCTAGCTGCACAGCCAGCCTGTCAGGAGGCAGACATCATCTAGCCTTGAAATGAGAGGCCTCACCTGTGTGTTACGTGCTGGGTGTCTAAGACTAAGAGGAGCTTTCTGCTCTTTGTGGGGCGGGTGTCCAGTGTCATTCAGATGTGTGCAGATGAGTGTGCCTGCCTATGAGGAGGTGGACCACCACCTCCTCGCTTGTTTCTGGGTTAGAAACTCAGATTCAAACAAACTTACAGGACCCAACCATCACCCTATGCAAATCAAAGGACCCAGACCCTGGGGACAGGCTCACCTGGATTTTGAGCCTGAACTTCCTGATTCCAGAGAAAGCTTTAAGAGCATTCAGGGCTTGGATTTTGACGCTGTTGTCCTTGTCATCCAGCATCTCCCCCACCAGGCTGATATCATCGGTTGTACAAGCCGAGGCCTAGAGCATGTGAGGAGAGGCGGGAGAGACAGGAGGAGCGGGTGTCCTGGGCCCACTGTCTCCCAAGTCTCTGAGACCTCCCCCTGCCGCCACCAGCCGGAGGGACAGGTCTGATACGCTGCCTGGGGTTTGGGGTGAGCTGTGAGCCAGGGGGCAGACTGACGACTGGGACACCCTCACCCGCCTCTCCTCACCTCAGCCTCCAGCAGGTACACACAACGGGTGATGCTGTGTAGGATCATGCTTTTGGTATACTCATCCTGTTTGCACTCCAGCGAGTTGAGGAGTCTTCGGATCTCTCCTGAGTCCCGCCCGTGGCGCTCTCTCTCAATGGCCAGGCCTAGACAGCACCCCAGGCCCACAGTTCAGGAGATGGGCTCGGAAGGGGAGGAAGGGGAGGAGGGAGCCAAGGGCAAAGGCTTCTCTAAAGTGAAGGCTTTGCTGTGCCCAGCCCTTTAGGCACTAGCGGCACCGCCTGGGCTCTGCGCGAAGACCATGACTTCTGTGCCCCAGATCTGTCCTGACGCTCGCTCATTGGTTCACAACCACAGCCTTCCTGGTGTGTAGCCTTGACAGGCTCGCCGGACACCCGGCAGATGACAACCAACCATCTCCAAGAAGTCACCCTTTCCCTGATGGCACAAAAGTTCCCTATGGAGAGATGGCTCAGGGGTTAAGGACACTGGCTGCTCTTCCAGAGGACCGGGGCTCGGTTCCTAACACCCACATGGTGGCTCATAACCATCAATCGGATACTTCTTCTGGAGTCCCTGGGCATTGCACACAGGAGGTATACAGACACCCACACAGGTAAACTGCCGTAACCCTATGACCTAGTGGGGAGCTTAGGGCAGAAAGTCCCTGCTCCTCCTTCCCTCACCGGCTCCAGGTCCTGGGGGGAGAGCAAGAGATAAAGCTCTTGACCCCACTTCTAATACCTGGGGTGGAGGAAGCCAGAGTGGGTGACTCCTCGGGCCCAGCTCCATGAGTTCTGCTATTCGGGGACCCCCCCCAACTATCTTCTATAGCAGGGCCTTGCCTCAGGTGCTGGGCAGGGGGAGGGAAACTGAGGCAGGCTGAGGAGAGAAAGAAGGAAGGGAGAGAGCAGCTTGAAGGAGTCACCTTTGGGCCTTCCCCCAGGGGAGGCCTTAGGAGCAGGTGTCTCCTGGGGCAGAGCCCTCTCCCCAGGGACTGGACACTCACGGGCGATGCAGATGGGTGAGTTGGAGCAGAGGGGCGGCTGACATTTTATGCCAGCCCTGATGGCCTTGTAGAGCAGGTAAATGGCCCCTGCGCCTGTAGCTAGGCCCACAACGCTTTTGCAAAGGTCCAGTTGCTGCAGGCACCGGGGAAGGGTCTTGCCCATGACTTCAGTGCTGCCCTGTGGTCTAGGTGGGTGCTAGGCCCAAGCCACCTGCAGAGAACATTCCGGAACCAGAACCCTGGCAGGGCCGAGAACCAGGGTACTAGAATTGGAGCCTAGGCAACAAAGGAAACCCGGGAGTTGATGGGGTTAAGGGTGGCCTTCAGGGAAGTAAGAGGCCAGAGGGCCTCCAAGTAGAGAGGACTCAGCTTTGGGAGGCTGCAGAGATGAAGCCAGGGACTCCGGAGGTAGAAGGTAGGGGGGCCTGAGTGGGGCTCAGAGGCTGCACTTCCCGGCATGGCAAGGCCATGGGCTCCTCACTGCCTGTTTTTATATGCCCATCATTTATTTGTAGACAGGGTCTCAAATAACCCTCATTGACCTGGAGCTCAGAGGTCTACCTGCTCTGCCTCTCCTTGCTGGAGTTAGAGGTGTGTGACATCACACCTGGCTTCAGTGTTTTATGTGTGTGTATGTGTGCCGTACACACATGCAGATGGTACCCAGGGAGTCCAGAAGAAAGCGCTGGATCTACCGGAGCTGGAGTTACAGCTGTGAGCGGCCAGTTGTGAGTGCCGGTAACTAAACTCGGGTCCTCTGGAAGTGCAGCAAGTGCTCTTTACCCCTGAGCTGCCTCTCCACCTCCTTGCTTTCAATTTTTTGAGATGCGGTATCACATAGCTCAGGCTGGCTTCCTTCTTACTATTTTGTTAAGGACGACCTTGGTCCTTAACCTCCTGCCACTACCGCCCAAGTGCTCGGTTACAGGTGTGCACCACCATGCCCAGCCTGTTTGGTTGTAGGAGTGTGTGGGAGTTGTGTGTGCATTCGTGAACATGTTTCTGTATACACGTGCAGGTATAAATGGCCGTGTGTTCGCATGCATATCCGCTGGACAGAGATTAATACCAGGCATATTCTTTTTTTTTTTTTGGTTTTTCCGAGACAGGGTTTCTCTGTGGTTTTGGTTCCTGTCCTGGCACTAGCTCTTGTAGACCAGGCTGGCCTCGAACTCACAGAGATCCGCCTGTCTCTGCCTCCCGAGTGCTGGGATTAAAGGCGTGCGCCACCACCGCCCGGCTACCAGGTATATTCTTCAGCTTCTCTCCATCGTATTTTATTGATTGTATTTTATGTATCTGAATGCTTTGCTTTCATGTATGTACGTGCACCCGTGGAGATCAGGTCACCTGGCACTGGAATTAGAGAGCACTGTGATCCAGCATGTAGGTGCTAGGCCCTTTGCAAGAACAACCAATGGTCTTAACCACTGAGCCATCTCTCCAGCCCCCATTACTGGTTTTCAATTATGTGCTTACATCTGTGTGTGGGTTTGTGACTGTCAATCAGGTGCCTTCAAGGGCAAGAGGCACCAGATCTTCTTGCAGCTGGAGTTATAGGTGGTTCTGAGCTGTCAGATGTGGGTGCCGAGAACTGAACTTGGGTCCTCTGCAAGAACAGTGTGCACCTTAGCTGCTGTCATATTGTTCTCAGATGGACTCTCCCTGAACCTGGGGCTCATTGACCTGACTCGACCAGGTGTTCAACAAGCCCCGAGGATCCTCTCGTCCCCACCTCCCCAGTGCTGAGATTACAGGCACACACTACTATGCCTGAATTTTTTATGTGGGTACTCGGGATCAAATTCAGGCCCTTGTGTTTGTATGGTAAGTGCTCCACCCACTGAACCATCTTTCCAGCTCCTTTTTTTTATTAGAATACATATTTATTGTTTAAATCGAGGGGCTGCACTATGACATCTTCACGTGTATGGGCTGTGTATTTTGATCTCATTCCTATGAATTTCTCCAGTTCCTTTTTCTTTGAGCCAAGTTGGAGTGGCCGGCGGGTGGAGCGTTCCAGTACCTTTTGTTCCACTAGAGGGCAGCAGAGGCCCACTTCTGGGCTTGGGCCTTTGGGTTTGGGGAAGCTCAACTTCCAAGACCATCTGTTGATCTCCAGCATGGATGTTCTGCCTGGGTGGCAGGTTGTTTCCCAAACAGGGTTTCCTCTTCCCACCCGGGCTTGAAAATGACAGGAGGACACCTTAGAAAGAATCGTCCCGCCCATCTTCCGATTGCAGCCCTGGAGTCCGCCTCCCTGAGGAAGTCTCAAGGGGGCATCCAGCTTAGCCGCCTGCACTTAGTAGTCACAGCTTAGAGAGACTTATAGGCATAGCCCTTACTGTTTGAAATGAGGGGCTCTGTGTCCTCCTAACATGGAGGGAGAGAGAGCAGCTTGCCCACGTGTCTTCTCTCCTCACCAGGGTCTCTTCACAGCCTTTGCTGTTGCATGTGGAGGTGAGGGGCTTCGAGCTGGCCTAGAGCATGGAGGTGCTAGAGCAGGGCTGAGCCTGCCTGCTGGGAAGAGCCAGGACAGAAGGCTCCAGAGCTGAGCCTAGACAGAAGTTGGGGGAGGGGTAGCTGTAAGGACAGGACCTGGCAGGCGCCACCCACTAGGTGCAGGGAACAGGGACTGCTCCTGCAGCGTTATCTTCCTGTCCCCTCTTCTATTCTAGCCACCAGGGGCACTCAGCTCTGCCTGGCTTCAGGCAGGTAATTCCAGGGTCTCCTGCAACAAGGAACCAAGGAAAGGGAGCACAGTCTCTGCTGCTGTGGAATCACCCTTCATTCCTGACAACTCAGGACAGGGAAATGGCCACCTGGTGGGGACTGTCACCTGAGACTCAGAGGCCACTTTGGCTGATCTTAAGATGAGGTCCGTGCTCCACCCTTCTCACCCAGCCTTCCCACCTTTTCTGACCCCAAACCGAGTTGATTCTGCACACTTGACAGCCTATGCACAATGCTCACCTCTCTTTTATTCCATTTTCCAGATTCCATATGTGTGTGTGTGTGTTGTACCTGTGTCTATGTATGGTACCACATGTGTTGGCATATGTGTGCACATGTGTGTATACACGTCGAGGCTTAAGGCTGACTTCTAGAATCATCCTGGATTCTAGCTTGCTTTCTGTGGTGATAAACACTGTGACAAACCCAGCTTGGTGAAGAAGGAAGGGGTCGACTTGGCTTCCACTTCCGGATGACAGTCCTTCATTTAGGGAAACCGAGGCAGGAACTGAAGCACAAACCACGGAACGTTTTTTTCTAGCTTGATCTTTGGCTCATGGTCAACTAACCTTTTCACACAGCCCACTCCCACCTGTTTAGTACTGGCACCTTCTAGTCCAATCAGCAATCAAGGAGGTGCTCCACAGACATGGGCCCAGACCAGTCTGATGGAGGCAAGTCCTCATTTGAAGTCCCTCCTTCCCAGGTGTGCCAGGTTGGCTGCCACCCTCTCTCCCATCTTCCTCATTAAGACAGGGTCTCTCAGGCAAACCCCCGGCATTCAGATAAGGCTAGTTTTGCAAGCAAACTGAGGGATCCCATGTCTGCCCCAGAGGCTAGATTTACAGGAGGAACACCATACCCCTCTTGCATATACTGAACACTGGGCTTGCCACATACAGGCAAGGGCCCTACCAAGCTACAGCCTGTCCCCTCAGTACACATCGTCTCTGGTCACGATGAGGAGCCACATAACTCAGGCGCAGGTGGCAATCCTCACTGTCCCCTAGGAGGCCTCTTAGACACGTCCACTAGTGATAAAGCACAAGCACATTCCCTGAGCCGAGGCCCACGTCCACCTGTGGAACTCCAAAGCCACTTCCTCATTGTTTTCACCCAAGCGTGGGTGGGGGTGTTTCACTGTCTTTAGGCTCCGGGCTCTCTTGGGGGCTGGTATAAACCGGACTGTGGGCACAACTGTAACCCCAAAACTCTCAGGAGGTGGGGTGAGGATCAAGAAGTTCAAAGTCATCTTTGAGTACTTAGCAATTTGAGGCTAAGGTGTAGAGCAAACCTGTTATCCACAACACTTTTATTTACTTATTTATTGGACTTTTTTTGTTTTGTTTTTTAAGACAGGGTTTCTCTGTGTAACAGTCCTAGCTGTCCTGGAACTTGTTCTGTAGACCAGGCTGGCCTCGAGCTCACAGAGATCCACCTGCCTCGGCCTCCTGAGTGCTGGAATTAAAGGCCCAGCTTACTTTTAGTTTTTTGAGACAGACTCTAGGTAGTCCAGGAGTTCAACTCAAGAGGTATTCCTGTCTCTGCCTCTTGATTGTTGTGTTAAAAGTCACCAGGTTCGGCTCCCCCAAATTTTAAATTATGGGGGGGGGGAGCGGGGCATGCGCATACTAAGGCACACATGTGGAGGTCAGAGAACAATTTACGTAAATCGGTAGGTCTCTCACCATATGGGATCTGGGAATCGAACTCAGGTCGTCAAGTTTGAAGGCAAAGGCCTTTACTCGGTAAGCCTCCTTCACTTCCGCGGCCTATCTCTCGGGAGCCTTATCAGCTAAGGGGTTTTTGAGTCTTCGCTACACCCATTGAAAAGCCCTTTGCGGTCCGATCGATTCGGGTTCTAATCCCCGCAGTGTGGGGTTCCTCAAATGCACAATCTGCGTTTCGGCTCAAAAAATGCAGCCAGCAGGACTGGCCAGAGAAGGTGCAGATCCTATTGCTGCGCAAGGGACACCTCCCCATTAGTGCTCAGAGGAGAAGACTGGGGGGCGCCCGTGCCTCGCAGTAGATCCCACACTCCCCGCGCTTACCCCGGCCGCGGAACTCAAGCCGAGGGGCCCCTCTGGCCAGCTCACGACCCGCGAAGGCGTGGGGACCAGGAGACGCAGCGTGAAGCGCGGGAGCGGGCAGCGCCCGGGAGGAGGAGCACGGGGCGGAGCGCATCGCCCGGCCTCCCCCGCGCCCCCGCCCCTCGCATCCGGCGGCGGCACAGGATGTTCTTTCGCTCCGGTCCCCCCCCCCGCCCCCGCTCTCACTTTCTCCCCGCTCCCCTCCTCCACACCCGCCGCGCCCCACGCCGGCACCTTGTTTAACCCCTTCCCGCCCGCGCCCAGGGCGCGCAGCGAGCCTGGGGTGCCCCGGAAGGCACACTACTGCGCCCAGCCGAGCTGCCCGTATTACGTCAAGGATGGAGGGTGCAGTGGGCTTCCGGGGACAGGCCTACAGTTCCCAGACTCCCGCTAGATCGCCAGGGGAGGTTCTCGGGGACCCAAGCCTGCTATTTCCAGACTCCCTACCCACCTCCACCCCTCCACCCTGCTAGATCGCAAGGAAAGGTTCCCGGGGACCCGGCCCGCACTCTCAGATCCAGGGCGAGATCGTCAAGAGCAATCGCGGGGCGCGCGCTCTCCTGGGCACGGACTGGCGTGCGTAGTTATCTCTCGCCTCAGGGGCGGGGGAGGACCAAGCAACTATAACCTCATCCTCCCCCCCCCTTCCCACACCCCCAGGTTGCGCTAAGGCGCCGCTCAAGCCGTTGGAGAGGATGGAGAGAGGCCACGCCCCTAAACGTCACTGTTTCCAAGGCAATCGGAGGCGGGACTGGAGACAGGCGGACTTTAGGGACTACAGGCAGCCTGGTGCTCCGGGACAGGGTGCGGCTGGGCTGGGGGCGCGGCGGGGTGGGGCGTTTCTGACTTTTTTTTTTTTTTTTGACTTGCTTGGTGTTGGAGAAAATGAATGAGCGACAACTTGTGTTCGTTTGTTTTGATTCAACAAACGTTTATGCTTGTCGCCATTCTTAGGGACTGTCTTGCTCTTCCCAAGCCTCCTGTCCACAGGTTGTCACGAATGCGGGTGGAGTGGCCTTGCATCTGGGATATGATTCTGGAATCGATGTAATTTTTCTTCTTTTACATTTATTGCGGGGGTGGGGCTCGCGTGCCACCACGTGCAAAAGGATCTCTGAGAGCAGCTACTTGTAGGAGTGAGTCCTCCCTTTCCACCTCGTGGGAGTGAAGGAATCGAACCCTTGTCGCCAGGCTTGGCAGCGCCTTTATCCGCTGAGCCATCTATGCAATTATTCAGTGCCTCTCTTCTCTTGTAATAAGCGCTAATCAGGGAAGATACTTCTGTAATTCATGGAAGGCCTCAGCCATTCAGGGAAGGAAGGCAAACCTGTGTGCTCACGACTTATCAACTCATTCCCAGCACTCAGGTCTTTGTGACCTTTGCCCCTTGTCGTTCTAGCTCCTTTGACAGTTGTAGGAACTGTCTGAGCGGTTCGTTAAGCTAGGTGTTGGAACCAGTGTTAGCCCAGTAGCTGAGCGGTGGAGCCAGGACAGGACCCACGCTTGTGGGTCTGAGTCCCCTCGTCGTGTTTCCTTCTTAGACTAAGTGACATGAAAGGCCGAGTGTCTCCATCACGAAGGAGTTTATAGTCTACAGGGAAATGGCGTGAAGAGACCACAGGACATAATTAAGCAATAAAACCTAGAAAATGTTGACGGCTGCTCAAAAGGATCGAAATAGGGTTGGTATTATTAGAGCCTTTCCTGTGGAAGGTGCCTTTCCAAGTGGGTCAGGAGGTGCTTGTAAAGCCAGGCCGCCAAACTGCTGACTCAGAGCTAACCAGACCCTTTTTAATTTTTTTATTTGTTTTAAAACAGGATCTCTAGCCCAGGCTGACCTCAAACTCTGTATTTAGCCAGGGATAACCTTAAGCGTCTGATCTGCCTGTCTCTACCTCCCAAATGCTGGGATTATGGGTGTATACCACACCTTGTTGGGGATGGAGGGATCCAGGGCCCCCTATGTGTGTGGCAAGCACTTAGGTACAGCCGCAGCCCCTCCTTTGGGTCTTCTGTCCTCCGTGGCTTTGTCTCATAGGAGCAGGTACCACAGCAACTGCCCTGTGTCTTTGCAATTTAGCACAAACTCTCTGAGGGTAACCTGGATGTTAGCTTCCCCTTCCGAACTCTGAAGAGTCTGAAGTAGATGAAAAATAGGGCAAAAACAGATTCTATGGGCAAAGGTGCTCGCTGCTAAACCTGATGACCTGGGAGCCACATGGCAAAAGGAGAGAAATGACTCTTGAAAGTTGTTCAGTGACTGCCACATTTGCCCACTGGCACACCTGCACCCACACCAAATATACATACATACATACATACATACATACATGCATACATGCATACATACATACACACACCCAAATAAATGTTTAAAAACAGGGCCTGAGTGAGCATCAGGAAGGCACGACGCTCTGTGGGACTAGAGAGACCAACTCAGGAGAGAGAATAAGGAGGTGAGGGGAATGTTGGATCAAATGAATGGTTTGTTCACTTAAGAATGCCTAGTGTCCCCTCGCTGTGGGCCTGTGCCCAGTACAGTGGGCTGGAATGGATGAATGAGCCCAGGCCTCTGCTCAGGGAACACCCAGGACTGCACCCAGTGTTCCCAGAGTGCTTGGCTGAAGTTGATAGCATACACAGTAAATGGTGTTTGGGAACGATTATTCCAGGAGGGTGTGTAGGAGCAAGGAGAACTCCCGGTCAGAAAGCAGGACAATTTGGGCCAAAGGTGGACTCTCTAGGGCTGGAGAGAAAGAACTGGAAAAAGTCAGGAACAAATAATAGCAGTTTTAAACATAAGGAGCAAAGTGAAGAATCTGGTATGTGGTGACAAATCAAATATAGGCTGTTGATAAAGAGATCAATTAAGAGTTACTAACTGGAGCCAGTGAGATGGCTCAGCGGCAAAGACGCTTGCCACCAGCTCTGACGGAGTGAAAAGAGAACAGACAACAGAGCTGTACCTTGTACACGCACACACACGTGTACACACGGGCACACACAGTGATTTTATTTATTCATCTGGTTTTGTTTTTATTTTAGGTTTTTTGTTTGTTTTTTTGAGACAGGGTTTCTCTGTATAGCCCTGTCTGTCCTTTAACTGCCACATGTACCTTGTACATGCACACACACGTGTACACACGGGCACACACAGTGATTTTATTTATTCATCTGGTTTTGTTTTTATTTTAGGTTTTTTGTTTGTTTTTTTGAGACAGGGTTTCTCTGTATAGCCCTGTCTGTCCTGGAACTCGCTCTGTAGACCAGAGTGCTTGGATTAAAGCTGTGCACCACCACTACGAAGGGCTCAGTCATTTTAATTTTTTTGTCCAGAAAATTTTAACAGGTTTATTTATAATGGTTATAAAGTTGAACTGTTGAACTGTGTTGACTGTACCCCTTTGCCCGCATTAATGCTTTATTTATTTACATCTTGTATTTATATTAAAAATTCCTATACACGTGAAAATGGGAAAATGCCAATGCCTGATTTCTGTCCCTTATTCTCCACTCACAGTCATACACTCAGGTGCCTTTTGACCCCATGGGAAGAAAAAAAAGAAAAAAACCCTAACATTCAGAACTACCGGTAACAGGAAGAAGAAAAAAAATTTTTTTTTGAGAATGGAACATTTCCCCTCATCCTGAACTCTGGGACACATTCTCCGTGGGTGAGGCTAGCTTCCTGGATGTCTTTTTGCCCAACTGTTACACGGTTGGCACGGACAGGTTGGTATCTTCAAAAAGGTCAACCAGACAGGTTTCACTTGCTTCTTGCGAAGCACCAGTAGCTGCACTCTGGAAACACAGATCTCTTTTGAAGTCCCGAGCTATTGCTGGAAAGGGAGTTTGCCAGTCAGAAGATGGGTGGATTTCACGGAAGTGTCAGGTCTGTAACAATGAGGTTTCTTCACCCCTCCAGTAGAGGGCGCACTCTCGCGAGTGGCTTTTATAGCCAGTTGTTTCCTGGGTGATTTGCCTGCTATGTAGGAGCCACAGTATGGCACCTCCTTACTGATCCCTCTACTCCTTTGGCTGGAGCTGGGCAAGCAAGAGGCAGTGCTGGCGTTAGGCTGTGAACACCCAGTCCAATAAAAACCAACAGGGGTAGAGATTTAGCTCAAAGAGCCTAGATTTCATCCTCAGCCCCCCTAAAAATTAGCCCACCACTGTAGGGAGTTTGGGGGATCAGATCTCAGTGGGCAATGGGCCTAGGCACATGGTCAGTTAAGTCAGTCCCTGAGAAGCGTAAGAGAAGTGTCTGGTGGGGAGTCAGAAGTTAGAGAAGTCAGTGTACCCAGGTCATCATTTCACTTACACCAGCAAACATAGGCACCAGGAACTGACATGGTTGTAGGTTGGAATAGGTGACAGTCAGGTTGTCTCCCTCCTGGGGTGTTTATTGAGTGTCAGCTGAGTAACCTTCTGCATGGGGTGTGTTGTGTTGAAAAGTGGTCCCTAGCCTGGATCCACGTTGGCACCCCTCCCTTCACCTTTGGCTACAGAGCGTGCAGATGGTGCAATCAGATGGCCTGGGGACACTAGGCCCAGGTGAGGTACTCCAGCAGTCTAGGGTCCCTCCCCTAAACTTCAGCCTGGAAGGCTCTGGAACCCAAGCCTGTGCTGTCTGCCAAAACCTTTCCGGGAATCCGGCAGAGGACAGAGCCCCTCCCTGCCTGTCCTGGCACTCTTAAGGCACAGGGTGTCCCTCGGGGTACCTTGAAGACACCCCAGGAGGCTGAAGCACTAAACAACCCCGCCCCCAAGGAACCACCCCGTTCTAGTTCTGGCCGGCTGCCATGCTCTCAATGGCCCCACCAGACCACAAGAGTCAGCAAGCGCGAAGAGGAATTTTGTGGCTGGGTGGCCAGCTTCGTGGGCCTTTGCTGTGGCTTCAGGTGGGAGGGTGGGGACGGCAAAAAAAGCAGAGTCTCAGGCTTCAGAGGACCAGGCCACCTGCTTCTCCCTCCCTCCCTCCCTCCCTCCCGGGAGGAAATCTTCAGGGCCCCAGTGGTTTTGAAAGGAGGGGGGACAGGAAGAGACACTGAACACTCTGGGTCAGTCAAGGACAGTGCAGAACTCTGTCTTAATTCTAGGATGCTCTTGCTTGGCCCCCTTACCCCCCAAACCTCAGAGCAAACTGCTTTCTCTGCAACTGACAGTCACAAGCCACTCTGAGACCTCCAGAGGTGTTCCAGAGTGGGTGGGCTTGGTGGGACCACGGAGCCTGTAGCCAGCAGCTCCGTGGTCCTCTGCACGGGTGGATGCGGTGAGGAGGATACTCTCGTCCCAGGTGGGTTGAACCGGCCAGCGATTCGCTGGCCTGGAGGGTCCGGAGATGGCTTCATGCAGGGGTGAGGAGTCCTTGTACCCGACCGTATGGAGGTCCCGGAGCTCCGCGCCCTCCCTCCCCACGCGGAGCCGGCTGCTGACCGCAGGCTGCCGGAGCGGTTGATCTGGGGAGCGGGCGAACACACCCACTTACCCAGCTGCTGAGTCAGGCTGTTCTCGCTCGCGCTCGCCCGCCCGCCCGCCCGCCCGCCAGCTCTCGCCCGGGACATTGTGTTCCAGCCCCAGCGCTCTGGCAGCGGGCCCAGGCGCTCACACCAGCCTCCTCGCCCTGTTTGTGCTCGCGGCTTGCGCTATGGCGCAGCCTCCCGTGGCCGCAGGGACTCTCAGAACGCACCCCTGGAGGGTGGGCCCCAGCAACTCCGGAGCACTCACCAGCCTCCGAGTACCCGCGCCTCTCCAGACGCCTTCTGCCCTCCCAGGCTGGGTGCAACCCCTGCCCCGGGTTGGTGGAGAATGACGACAGCTGGGAGCTGGGGCAGGTATTAAGAGTTCCCCCCACCCCACACTTCCCACTTTCCACGCAAACGTTCAGTCCCAGTGACTGCAGGAGGATAGTTGGAAGCACGCCAGACCCAGACTTGGGAGACCTGGAATGTGACCACGTGACAACGAAGCCCGCTTTGAGGGGACCAATTCAAGCGATCCCCCGGAGGAGCCTCCCACTTTCTCACCCCCACCCTTGAGCCGTCACAGAATCCGGGAGCACGGAGACTCCAGGGATTCCCGGAGTCCTCAACCAAGCCCGGCCTTTTTGGAAAGTTTGGGAAGCCCCTGGCAGGATGCTGAGAGGAGGGAGAGCCGAGTGGGAGTGGTGGAGCAAGGGCAGGGTGGCGCAAGAGGACCCCAAAGGCTCTGCCTGTTGTTCAGCCCCAAACACTGGTGTGTTACTGAGAGTCACCATTTCTCTCAACCGTCCTGCAAAGACAACACCAAGTGCTGGCTCCTCTCCCAAGCCAGGGACTGTGTGCTGAGCCTGAGCTAAGGATGTCATGAAAAGTGAGGAGGCATGCTTTCTTTTTTAATGTTTATTTCATTTTTATTTGTGTGTGTGTGTGTGTGTGTGTGTGTGAGAGAGAGAGAGAGAGAGAGAGAGAGAGAGAGAGAGAGAGAGAGAG